CAAATAAAACCTAATGCCTTTATTCTAAAGTGAGGCCACCAGATTACTGGAATGGTGCTTAAAGAGATTACCAGACATAAACATACATTAGAATCAGTTCCTAACTGATAAAAGAAAGATTATTTTGTATACGGAAGAACAGAAGAAGAAAGAGAACTAATTTATTGTCATGTATTTTAATGTAGGTTCTCAAAGTGGACTTAAGATTGAGATCCTTCTCTCCCTTGTACAATAAAAGGATTCCTTTTTCTTCTTTAAATGCCCACTATAAAATTCATTCAAAATAGAAAACTGAGGAAGGAAGTTTTTTTGGATCTCCAAATTAAGGGATTTTTATAACTTTTATTTTATGAAATTTATTTGTTCCTTAAAAAGTAGCCATTGAAATCTGAAGTACATTTATTCTTCAAATACATTTACATTGTATGTTTATTCCCCAAAGGGACCTGGCTGTGTCATCCTGACTAGCGTATTTCACCTCCTCTCTAGGCCTTAGCTTTCTCACCTGAAAATCAAGACATCTAAAGATGAGATGAAATCTCAGATTCTTACTACTGCTGCAATTAAGTTTAATATAACAGACTGACTCATGCCTTATCTGTAAGCAGTGGTAACACTGTGTTTCTCTGGGCAAGAGACTCAGAGAGGGGCACCTGGGTGGCTCAGTAAGTTAAGCGTCTGACTTCGGCTCAGGTCATGATCTCTCAGTTGGTGAGTTCAAGCCCCACGTCAGGCTCTGTGCTGACAGCTGGATCCTGGAGGCTGATTCAGATTCTGTGTCTCCCCCTCTCATGCTCTGCCTCTCAATGATAAATAAATATTAAAAAAAAAAAAAAAAAAAAAGAGACTCAGGGATTTGCTATTCTACTGCTACTGCTCCGAGCACCAAATGTCTTCTTAGCATCATCTGAAAGCCTAGCCTAACCCAAGAGTAGAAGGGCCTCCATAAAATTTTAAAAAATATTTGGGGCACCTGGGTGGCTCAGTCAGTTAAGCATCCAACTCTTGATTTTGGCTCAGGTCATACATAATCCCATGGTTTGTGAAATCCAGCCTGGTGCTGGACTGTGCTGGCAGTGCAAAGCCTGCTTGGGATTCTTTCTCTCTCTCCCTCTTTGCCCCTCCCTGCTTGGTGCTCATGCTCTCTCTCTCTCAAAATAAATAAATTTTTAAAGATTTAAAAAACATTCTTAAAACATAATTGTAATTTTAAATTCATGACAGGACATAATTCTTAGGAGGCACTGGGGATGAGCAATATAAAAACTATTTGGGGCACCTTGGTGGCTCAGTCCATTAAACATCCAACTTTGGCTCAGGTCATGATTTCACATTTTGTGGGTTCGGGCCCTGCACTGGGCTCTGTGCTGACAGCTCAGAGCCTGGAGCCTGTTTCAGATTCTGTGTGTCCCTCTCTCTCCCTGCCCCTTCCCTGCCTACACTTTGTCTCTCTCTCTCTCTCTCAAAAATAAACATTAAAAAAAATTTTGTTTTAACTATTTGATGGGAGGTGCAGGATGTCAAATCTCTGAGATGGTCAGGAACTGTAGATACTGCAAATATTAGATAGCCATGGCATAATGAGAAAAAAAGTTTAATTCATGTCTGTATAAGTCTATTTACATAGAGCTCTGTGTCCACATCGACATAAGTATGTTCCTGCAGAGAAATGTTTAGAAGGCTACTAACAAAATCCTATCAGTGGTTACCTTTGAATAGAGACAGTTCAGGTGAAAACTTCCTATTTTATGCTTTTTTATAATTAGAAAACCATAAAGTTATGTTAATTTTTTAAAAGGGTACCATTTATTGCATATTTAAGCTCTCTGCTAACTGCTTTACATGTATTATTTCATTAATTCTCAAAATAATCCTAATAGAGATTCTCAATTTATAGGTATGGAATTCTAGGCTTAGAAATGGTATGTGTCTTTCCTAAAGCCATTAAGTGGCAAATTTAGAGCTTATATTGAGATCTTTTTGACTTCAGATTCCTTGCTATCTTATGACCTAATATGTCTTATGTCCCAATAACTGTTCTATTTAGTTAATGCTAATATTGATAAAATAGACAAAGGCAGTAATATTGAAAAAAGGCATTCCTAAAATACAAATTTCCTTTGAATGAAACTTTGGGTAGGTATTTACCTAGAGGTAAGACATCCTTTTTTTTTTTTTTTTAAGTTTATTTATTTATTTTGAGATAGAGAGCACTAGCAGGGGAGGGGCAGAGAGAGAGGGAGAGAGAGAGAATCCCAAACAGGCTCTGCACTGTCAGCACAGAGCCTGATGTGGGGCTTGGACTTACGAACTGTGAGATCATGACCTGAGTCAAAACCAAGAGTCTGATACTTAACCGACTGAGTCACCCAGATGCCCCTGATTTCATTTTGTTTTTAGAAAAACAAAAGCCAAACTATTTCAAATGAGTTTACGAAGGCCTTCAGAGACTAGCAATATTAAAATTTTTGAATTATTTTTTTTTAAATATGAAATTTATTGTCAATCTGGTTTCCATACAACACCCAGTGCTCATCCCAACAGGTGCCCTCCTCAATGCCCATCACCCACTTTCCCCTCCCTCCCACTTCCCATCAACCCTCAGTTTATTCTCAGTTTTTAAGAGTCTCTTATGGTTTGGCTCCCTCCCTCTCTAACTTTTTTTTTTTCTCTCCCCTCCCCTATGGTCTTCTGTTAAGTTTCTCAGGATCCACATAAGAGTGAAAACATACGGTATCTGTCTTTCCCTGTATGACTTATTTCACTTAGCATAAAACTCTCCAATTCCATCCACGTTGCTACAAAAGGCCATATTTCATTCCTTCTCATTGCCACGTAGTATTCCATTGTGTATATAAACCACAACTTCTTATTTATCATTAAAAGTTTTTTAAAAAATGTTTATTTATTTTTGAGAGAGACAGAGTGCAAGCCGGGGAGGGGCAGAGAGAGAGAGGGACACAGAATATAAAGCAGGTTCCAGGCTCTGAGCTGTCAGCACAGAGCCCAAGACAGGGCTTGAACCCACAAACCGTGTGATCGTGACCTGAGCCAAAGTTGGATGCTTAACTAACTGAGCCACCCAGGTGCCCCTGGCTTCCTTTTTCAACATTACTGTGGCTACTTGGGGTCTTTTCTGGTTTCATACAAATTTTGAATTGTTTGTTCTAGCTCTGTGAAGAATGTTAGTGTTATTTTGACAGGGATTGCATTGGCTGTATAGATCGCTTTGGGTAGTATTGACATTTTAACAATATTTGTTCTTCTAATCCATGAGCATGGAATGTTTCTCCATTTCTTTGTGTCTTCTTCAATTTCTCTCATCATTAGCTTTCTAGAGGTTTTAGCATACAGATCTTTTACCTCTTCAGTTAGGTTTATTCCTAGGTATTTTATGGTTTTTGGTGGAAGTGTAAATGGGATTGATTCCTTGGTTTCTCTTTCTGCTGCTTCATTATTGTATAGAAATGCAACTGAGTTTTGTACGTTAAGTTACCAATTTTTATATAATATAGTATTAAAATAGTCTTTTCAAATTTATAAAGTTATTAAATAACTTTAAAGATATTTCAGTTCACTTTAAGATTAACATAGGGACACAGCAATGTTCAGAAAGTTATCAGAGCATATGCTCAGAAGGGCCAAGTGAGTAGGGACAGATAAGCTGATTTTCACACAAGAAACATTGTCATTATTTTTCAACTCTGTTACCAAAATATAACCATTCAAAAGAGAGATAAAGAGATGGTCATATGTGATGAATGAAAACCAAGAACACAGTAAAATACAAGCATTTCAAACCAATTTCAAAAAAAGATAACGTGGGGTGCCTGGGTGGCTCAGTCGGTTAAGCGTCCCACTTCGGCTCAGGTCATGATCTCGTGGTCTGTGAGTTCGAGCCCCGCATCGGGCTCTGTGCTGACAGCTCAGAGCCTGGAACCTGCTTCGGATTCTGTGTGTCTCTCTCTCTCTGCCCCTCCCCTGCTCATGCTCTGTCTCTGTTTCAAAAATAAATAAATGTTAAAAAAAATTAAAAAAAAAAGATAACGTTAGGGTTGATAAGCCAATGTCATGTGCCAGGAACAATCTAGTTATTAACCCTCATTCAAGGGATTTGTACTACTTGTATTTTTTAGTTTATATTTATTGTGCTAAATATTTAATCCATTTTATTTTTTATGAAATTTAATAATATACTGTTATTTCAGGAAGTTAATTTTCACTTCTTCTGAAAAGGGCTTTTGCAAGTAAAAAGCATCTGGATTTTTATAGGTTATTGTATTTCTAGTACTCGTGTTTATATAGGTTCAAAATCCCATAATTTTGAAATTCAAAATACTTGGAAAATCAGATTTTACTTTTTAGTTAAGTTTGGAGTCACAGCTCATTTAGGGCAAAATCTGACTTGAACTGAAGAGAGGTTATTCATAATTCTTATTTATTTTACTTAGTACGCCTATTCAAATGTTTTACTGCAAAAATACTGTGCTTGATCAGGGAGTTCTTCCCCATACCTTGCTAGGGTGTTATACAATATACGATATACAGAAAACTCTTCTAAAACCTAAAATTTTTATTTTACTTTTATTTTATTTTTTAAAAGATTTTATTTTTGGGGTGCCTGGGTGGCTCAGTCGGGTAAGCATCCAACTTCAGCTCAGATCATGATTTCATGGTTTGTGGGTTCGGGCCCCGTGTCAGGCTCTGTGCTGACAGCTCAGAACCTGGAGCTGCTTCGGATTCTGTGTCTCCTTCTCTCTCTGTCCCTCCCCTACTCACACATGCGCGCTCTCTCTCTCCCCCTCGCTCTCAAAAATAAACAAACATTAAAAAAAAAAGATTTTATTTTTAAGTAATCTTTACACTCAATGTAGGCTCAAACTCACAGCCCCCATATCAATAGTCATATGCTCTACCAACTGAGCCTGCCAGGCACCCCTAAAAATCCTAAAAATGGTACCTATGTTACTGATTGATTGATTCAAAATATTTTGTTTTTAAAAAATATGGAACGCTTCATGAATTTGTGTGTCATCCTTGAGCAGGGACCATGCTAAACTTCTCTGTATTGTCCTAATTTTTGTATATGTACTGCTGAAAGCACCGAAAAATTCTGATTTTTGAAACACACCTGACCTGAAGACTTTTGATGAGAGATTGTGGCCCTCTAAGCCACGTATTCTAAATATATAGCACAACTTGGAAAGAAGTGGAGCAGACTACACTTGGATGGCAGCTCTTGTGCTTAGAAGAGATGCAGGAACTCATCTGGATAGCTGGGTTGAGTGTGTACAGTCTCTTAGGGAAGCACACTAGAGGTGTTAGAATACCAAAAGTAATTCTAAGAGACAATCATGCCCTTCAGTAATGACATGAAAGCAAAATGAAAAACAATAAAAATGCTTGTATCTGACATTCTAAACAGATCTTGAGGCATGACTGGTTGGAAAAGCCACATGAGAATATGTCTTTATTCACAGAGTCTCACAGAGACTTTGCTTTAACAGCTATAATCTCAGGGGGCGCCTGGGTGGCGCAGTCGGTTAAGCGTCCGACTTCAGCCAGGTCACGATCTCGCGGTCCGTGAGTTCGAGCCCTGCGTCGGGCTCTGGGCTGATGGCTCGGAGCCTGGAGCCTGTTTCCGATTCTGTGTCTCCCTCTCTCTCTGCCCCTCCCCCGTTCATGCTCTGTCTCTCTCTGTCCCAAAAATAAATAAACGTTTGAAAAAAAAAAAAGAGCTATAATCTCAGGCCAGATAAAAAAAATGAATGTTCCAGTCTCCTTAGTGTCGGTACCAAGGCATCTATGGAAAGCTCTGGATACATGTGGATGGTTAGAGAAAGCACCAAACCAGAGAAAGCACCAAGACTCATTATATAGGTGGTAGGTTTTCAACAAAGAGCAAGTAAGTCCTTTTTGAAGAACACAGGACAGCCTCCTCTGAACAGCTGACTGCCAGCACTGCTGTTTCTGGAGAGCAACACTCAGGTCTATAATCAGAGCCTTTCATTTTTGGATACTGTGGTCAGTATATGGGTAGGAGGATGGTACCTATTTACCCACGAGTAGGATTTTCCACAAATTCTCTATCACAGTGCTATCATGTTCAGGTGTCAATGCTATAGCACTGCATATGCAATGTAAGATTTCCAATAGCAGATAAAGCCACTCATTAACAATGAGAATTTTCAGGTAATTTACCTGTAGGGTATATTGATCCCATATAATCTTGTATAGACAAGGATAATTTTTGGTAAATATTTATTTTTTCTTGGTTTATTGAGAAATAATTGACATACATCACTGTACAAGTTTAAGGTATACAGCATGTTGGTTTGATTTATATATATTGCACATATTTTTAATAGATGCATAAAATGCCACACTTAAGTGAAAATTTAATGTGCAAAAGTCCTAAATTACAGCAAATGGCTGTTTTACTTACTATAACTTTTATTTACTTATTTTTTATTTATTTTTGAGAGGGTACAAGTGGGGATGAGTGGGAGGGGGACAGAGGATCTGAAGCAGGCTCTGAGCTGATAGGTTGAAAGCAGCAAGCCCAATACAGGGCTTGAACTCACAAACAATGAGATCCCGACTTGAGTCAAAGTCGGATACTCAGCTGACTGAGCCACCCAGGTGCCCCTTACTATAACTTTTAATTTTTAGACAGTAAAATTAAATATCACGAGTAGTGGCTAAAATAACAGGAAAAGATCACGTATCAGGAATTTGTCAGCTTTTTTTTTTTTATATTTGTGACACTGTGATAAAAATGTCAGTTTGTGATATCTGTGAAGATCTTATTATTTGCAGTTCAGGAAAGGGTATTCTCATCCTCACCAGAAAATTTGGGAGAAAAGTTTCCTTAGGTTTTTTCTGTCTTTTTATGTAGACATGTGTGTTTCCTGTATTATACCATCCCATCCCAGGCTGAAATAGGATAGGAGGTCCTTTTCATAGGATGTGAGGAAATGTCCTTAAAGGCACACATCACTAGTTCTGGTAATGGAAGGGACATTGAGATGTATGTAGGGCAGACGTACTGAAAAGTACCAGTTATGTTCTTATGATAAGAGTAAGAATGGACACTAATTGTTTGCTACTGGCTGTTGTTTATTCCACACAGATTGCCTTTTAAGTTCATAAACTGTTAACAGAGAGGTTGATGAGACCTACATTGTGGAATACAAAGGGAGAGCAGAAGTCCCAAGGGACAATCAATACGGGACTTAAGAGCAGAGGGGCCAGGATTACAAAAGTGTTATAAGATTTCATTATCTTTATACTGTCTTCCATATTTGATATTTTGGTATTTCCTATAGCAATTAGGGGCAAAACCTAAAAAAGTGAAATATGATTGTCTTGTAGAAAGATGGGGGGGGGAAAGACAGTCAACATTTATTCTGTACCACCTGTATGCTAGGCATATAGAGTCAAATGCTTAAAGAAGCTCATTTAATTTTCAAACCAAGTAAAGTTTTTAACATTTTATATCTGACAAAGCTGAATCAGAGAGGTGAAATATATATAAACACATAAATAAAGTAAGCACAGCTAGCAAACGGCATAGCTAGGATTTGACTCCAAAGCCCATGATTTCTCACTGTACGACACCTGTATGAATCTCTAAAACAAGCATGACCCATTTGACAGCTGAATGACTCTCCAAAATTGAGGTCTTAATATATGTACTTGTCAATTCTCCCTCATAGAACATCCTATTTTGGGGAAGGAGGAAGGGAAATTTTAGGGTACATCTCATATCCTTCTTGGAATAATCTTGCATTAAAAACTTGCAGCAAAAAAAGGTGAAAATTACTCTTTCTAGAAAGGATTTTTGACTTACTGGTATCATCTGAAAAATGTTATTTGAGGATATAAAGACAGGGCACTTTGGAAATCAGTAACTCTATATGGAAATAAAGACAAGGAATTCTTTCAGTGTTAACCATGAGATAGCAATTATGTCACATGAAACAAAACTTGCCACTCATCATTGTTACTCATAACCACTGTGTCTTTATAAAACCATTTTGCTCAGTTTTTTCTTTTTTTTTGGTATATCATTTTAAGGCATAAGGCAAAATAATCATATATTGGGGCGCCTGGGTGCCTCAGTCAGTTAAGCGTCTGACTTCAGCTCAGGTCATGATCTCGCAGTCTGTGAGTTTGAGCCCCACGTTGGGCTCTGTGCTGACAGCTCGGAGCCTGGAGCCTGTCTCAGATTCTGTGTCTCCCTCTCTCTCTGACCCTCCCTGCTTCATGCTCTCTCTCTGTCTCAAAAATAAATAAATGTTAACAAAATAAAAAAAAATCATATATTAAAATAAAATGACAAGAAATTTCGATTCAACAGCAAGTAAAAGATAAACCAAAAAAAAAAAAAAAAAGGCGGGGTGGGGGGTAACAATCATTTCATGTCTTAATTAACTTTGACAGTAATATGTGACTGTTTTAATTTGACAGTTTGGACTTTTGCAGGAAAAATACTGCAATTTGAACTGGGTCATATTAAAAAAGGCTTCAGTTTTCTCCTTGATAAAGGCAAGATTAGCTCTACAATCCTTTCCAGCACATCTGTTGAGGAAAACTAAGGTGCTTCAGACAAGATGAAAAATGAGAAGTTCAATCTTTTCACTATAAATAGGAAAGGAAAACCTTAATTTATATTAAGGAAAATGGAAAGCCCCAGTTTATGCATTCAGTGGCCTCTTACACACACACACACACACACACACACACACACACACACGCACACACACACACTCTTAATACCAATACCAGTCCCACCCTTCATTAACATGCAAACCCACACATCCCATCTCCCCCACCCTTGACCCACACCCCCCATATACCTCAGCTATGGTCATTCTCAGAGCACTGACAGGGGAGAGCTCAATATCCACCAGCTGGGCAGCTTTTAAACTCTGCCCAGTAAAGATTGCACAAGGACAGAAAACAGCATAGTTAGAATCTTCAGGTTAACAGGGACACACAGCTAAGAACATTTAGCACAGTGTCTAGAAACAAAGGAGGATTTCAGATTGTAGTTGAGCCTTGGACAAGTAAGACGAGAGTCTACAGTATTCTGAGTTTTTGAGGAAAATGGGCAAAGATAAAATAATTTAGTATTAGTCACAGTTTTAAGTCAAGCTTGGTGAACCTGTCCATACCCCATATCTTCTATTGCCCAGCTTTATTCCTTTCAGCTAAAGAAGTCAAATTATAGGACAATGTCACTGGGTGATTAAGCAAAAGCAGATTGATAAAAAGGGCACTAATATAAAGGGCAAGAGTTACAATCTAGAGAAAAATGCTGATTTCCTATATTTCTTTACATAGCCACTAACAGGGCTCCTTAAAATGTAAGAAAAGTAATGAAGATATCTCCAGCAAAGATTTCTATTAAACTGATAGCATGAAATTCTGAGATCATAAATTCCCCTGGTTCTGATTCTAGGTTTACTAAGAGACCTTATGAATAAAATTTCACTTCCCTCTTGGCCTGCCTACATGGAATGAATGTGCTAGATACGCCAACATGTGCTTTTTCAACTTGTAGAAGTTGATTGCCTTTCTTTATGTTATCAAATTAGCATTTTGGTTCTATTTTTTTTTAATTTAAATAATGGCAAACATTTTTCATTAGCTCAAGGATAAAATGTATGTTTAATATCTGCTTTTTCAAAATTGCCAATTTGGCATTTACGTTAATGCTCTGACATTCTAAGAAATCTGAAAGGAATTATAAAGGGCCTGTAATTTTTTCAAAAGCCAAACAAAATATTTGCAGGCACATATTCACTCCTCTGTTTATTGATTCTATTCTGGTTAAAATTTAACCACTGGTTTCTTTGGAACTATGCACATGTGAAGAATTTCATGGATAGAAAGTATGATTTATATTTAAATTGAAAAAAAAATTTTATTGAGTACTTTTTCTTCTTCCCTCAGTTCAGTTTGCAGGTTTCCAGTACCGTGTCTTATAATTTAACCTTGTTTAAGTTGCTTGCATAAAGATACTGGGTTTTAGTCACATTTTAGAAAGAAGAAATGTCAGTTTCTCTGCATACTCACAGTTTTGTTATAAAATTAAGG